CCCACTCCGCCAGCCCGGCCTCCCACTCTCATAGTGTATTACCAACAACGTCAAGCACTATTCTTCTTGCCAAGCCCTGTCTCTTCCCTCTCCAGCCTGTTTCCTGATATCTTAGTCCAATTTCTCTTTGAACCTAGTAGCATCTACAATTTACTTATTCTGTGACCTTTCCTCTGTCCCCCATTCTCCGTATGACTTCCCTTCCATCCCAGTGCACCTTAGTTTCTAGGTTTGTCTCTACCAGTTCTTTCTTGTATGCATCCTCAAATATACATCCCTCTCTGTCTCCATACTCCTTACCTGAGAAAACCACAACCTTAGTAAAATCCAGTTCTGTACTTTCTCTCTGCTTGCACACAGCTAAACATGGTTGGAAAGGTGTAAAATGACACTGCCTGGCTTTATTTTCAATTGACAACCACTAAACTCAGGAGACCTTTGTGTAGCCCAGTAATCACTGTGCATTTTCCTGGTTTATTTATTCTCCTGTTCTCTTGTTACACAGAGGAGCCATGTGTATCTGACCGAGACCAGCTCTGTTGTGGGATCACATCCTATTCATCTGGCTCTTTTGCTTTAACATCTAAACTAATATTTTCCTCTGTCCTAGGCCATTCCCATCAGAATACAGACATGCTATTTCCTATCTTTAAAAAAATCCTTCTTTGACTCTATATCTCTCTCCAGCCACCACTTTAATTTTCAGCTGCCCTTTCAAACAAAATCCCAAATCCCAAATCCCAAACTAGTAGCATTCATTCTTTCTTTTATTCTTAAAGGCAGTCCTAGCAGGTTTCTACCCCCGATTCTGCCAGAGCATCTCTTGTCAAGGTCAACAGTGACCTTGCCATTGCTAGTTTCCAGATTTTCATGGCAGCTTTTGATACACTGATCCTACGAGTATATGGGGTAGGTGGAGTGTCTCCTTTGTTTCCCATCACGCTGAGAATCAAATACCCTTTGTGTTCTAACAGAGTCAATCTAGAGCAAAGTTAAACCTTTGCTCTAATACCACCTCCACCATTCACTGGTAATTTATGCTCGCCTTAATTTTCTGTAAAAAATGAAGATACTATTCATACCTGATATGTAGTTGTGGGGAAAGTACAATAAGTACTTTTAGAGCCCTGGAACATTTAGAGCCCTAGAAGATAGACTATCACCCTATAAAAATCAAATGAATCCTAGTTATTATTGGATGCCTTGTGCCTTTACAGCTGACGCAAACAAGCTCTTTTCTGTCCTTTAACAACTTCGACTTACAGAAATAAAGTACTATCCACAGAGTGTGTTCATTGTCTCTGATTTTTGTGTTTTAAGTTTTGGTTTTTATTCTAAACAATCACATAGTAACCATCTTCCCTTACAGAGTGCTACAGATTGAACGTGTCCCTCTTCTCATTGATGTGCTGGAAATTTAATCCACAGGTTCATACGTTCATGGTGTTTCATGGTGTGGGGCCCTTAGGAAGTAATGAGGATTAGCTGTGATCATGATGGTGGGATCCCTGTGGTGGTACTAGTGGCTTGCTAAGAAGAGGAAGAGAGTTCCAACCCAGCACTGTCTCCCCACGTGGTGCCCTCTTCCATATTATGATGCCACAAGAAGGGGTTCATCAGGTACTAAGAAAATGCGTACTCATGTTGGACTTCTCAACTTCCAGAACCATGAACTAAGTAAATTTCTGTTCTTTATAAATTACCTGGACTCTGGTATTTTGTTATAGCAACAGAAAACTGCTTAAGACAAGGAGTACTACAAATGCTTCACAGGGTGAGTGGGCTGTGGAACTTGCCAAACTGTCCCACCAACTTGCTTTAATTAACAACGGACTCTCTTTTGATTTGCTTGTCTAAATGAATGACTTGTAAGCCAAGAACTTTCTTTATAGCACTTTAGTTGTTTGAGTTTCCTAATTAAGTGAGTTTCCTAATCAAGAAAAACATTTTTCTTATTTCAATACTTGCTGTTGAAAATTTTTCTCAAACTTGTTGTTTTAATTTTTTATCTTATAAAGTAGAGCAGAGTAAACAATAATATTCTCTACCAATCAAACTGATGTTTATTGGGAGTTGCCATGCTCTCAGCACTGTGCGAGGCATTGCAGAATATGGAGGTCACCAGCATCATGGTGCTTCTCACCTTCTAGTCAAATGTTCTATGACAGAAGGTCTTACTGAACTTCATGGTGTGGCAGTCTGGTTTAGTTGTCAACTTGTTTGGTTTGGGAGCCATCTAGGGGAATAGTAAAACATATTTCTGGGTGTGTCTGGGTGGGTTATAGAGGAAGGACCTTGGAGTCTATAGGTCTAAGGACCTCAGTGCCTTCCTTTCTGGTGCTGTTATCTGCTTCCTAGCTGCCACAGGCTAAGCTGCTTTGCTCCACCGTGACTTTCTGCCATGATATTCTTGTCTTGGAGCTAGCCAGCCACAGATGGAATCTTCTGAAATCATGAGTCAAATAAACTTTTCCTCCACTAAATTGTAGGTGTAAAGTAATTTGTCCTAGCAATGGGAAAGGAATGACACACAGGATAATGTCCAAAGTCCCACCCACACTTGACTTTTGCAGGTCTCATACAGAGAGATGGTTCTATTAGAGAGCCACTGAATCATAAGCAACAGTGCGGAGTTTGTAGTTTTGAATCTTAGCTCTGCTAATTACTAAGGGGACAATCTCTCAGGTGTGTTACTTTCTTAGAGCCTTAGTTTCCTGAAAATAAGGTTTATCTCATAGGTTAAAAAAAAGGGGTGGGCTTTGAAGATATCAATACGTAATACAAAAACCATTGTTAATTTCCTACCACTTTGTCTGTAACTCTGTATTGCTTGTATTGTTCTTATGCTATTTTGTAAATGGATATCTGTTTGCTAATATATTTTCCTTCTTTTATTTTTAAAATAAATTTTTAGAAAAGGTGTGAGACAGACCAGGC